CAAAGATTATAAAAGATGTTCACCACAAACCTTTTTATTAAAATCAATAGATAATTATTTATTATATAAATATTACAATTTTTTTCGAAATCTGCTTGAATAAAATAAAAGCTTTGTTAAACTATTTTATAGAAATGTTTAAATTAACGTTCTGTACTCAAAATAAATAACCATTTGATTTTTTTTAAATAAATTTTAGTGGCAATTATTACTTTTAATAATTATAATGCTTTAAAGGTACTTTAAAGAAGAATTGAAATAAAATATTAAAAATCTGTATTGTAATAAAAAATTTGTATCATAATGGATATCTCTACAATACAGATTTTTAACCAATATAAATGCAATACACAGCAATATAAATGCGATACACTGCAATATTTAGGGTTGGGAAAATTTCACTTTTTGCTTGTACTTACTTGAAATTTCACTTGAAATTTTCATGAAATTTTCATGAAATTTATGAAATTTATTAAAATTTCCTAAATAAATTTCAATCAGTTTAAGTGTAATATATTAATATTGAAATAAGCCCACTCCGGGACCATGGCAATTGCCTCTCTTACCTCCTCTTACCTCCTACCCCTCTGTGGGCCCCTGCACCAATAATATAAATAGTAAATACCTATATTTACCACAAATTTCTTGAGATTTCCTTTTAAAATATTTTTAAAATTACTAAAACTAAAAGATAGCACTTTTTGGTAAGCTAATGAGATTGTGCCACTTTCATTGTTTTATATTTATATATATTTATTATTTTTAAATATTTTACTGAAATTTTACGAAGATTGAAGAAACTTCATCAAAATTTTATGAGCCAAAGTCATTTTTTATCCGTTCTCCAATGCAATTATAGCAAAAGTAAAAGTTTAAATTAATCATGACTTTTAAAAAAAATGTAAAGTCTGATTTAATTTACAAATTAAATTGGTAACTGAATTAAATTATTTAAATTAATTTATACATATAAGTAACAATAATTACTTATAGTGTATTCAAATCCAAGCCGAACTAAACAAAAACGCCCAGACGCTTGATAACTCGTTCTTATTGGTCGATTCAGAATCTGTTCTAAATTATTATTAAATGTCCCAGGGGAGGCCGCATGTGAAATTTATGCGAAATTTTCAGTTACTTGCGAAACTTTCAATGACATTTCTGAAACTTTCACAGGCAATGTTGAAATTTTCGGATTGAAAATTTCATTTGAAATTTTTAAAAATTTCACTTTTCCAACTAAATGAAATATTTCAAGTTTGAAACTTTCAAAGTAAAAATTTTCATTTGATAACTTCAACTGTCCCAACCCTAGCAATATTCCGTCAATATCAACTATTGCCTTGCACATCTGACAGATCTTATAGGTATTTATAGTCCGGGAGGCAGTGAAGATTTTCGGTACTTATTTTCCCAGTCGGCAAACACCGATACAATTATTGGGTTTGTTATTCTGAGCAAAATTTATATATATTTAGGGGGGGGGTTCCGATGGGTTAAGGCGGAAAATGCGTTATAAAGTACAAATATATTGCATTTTTTTTTTCAGTGATAAAAATAATTCCATTAGTGAGAGATATAGTGAACTTAAGAAAAAAAATAGTCTGGCTAATCTGTGAGTATGGGTAATATGTCTGGCAGGTAGAAAAATTATTAAAACCATTGCCCTTATTTTCGCAGTCCCAAAAATTTTGTGAGATGATAGTTTATATTATAATTACAGCTGCAAATATAGTCTGGCTAATGTGGAACACTCCGAAAGCCTTGCCAGACGCGTCCAACCCTCCACATGCGCGCTAAATTCGGCATGTTCAATTATACAGGCGATTGTTGTCATCTCTACATGTTTTTACTTTTCATAATGTATGATAAGAAAATAATGTGTGTAAAGCAAAATTTAAATATGGCTAAAAAAATGTCAGTCCGTCCGCCACCAAAAAACTTTATTCGCGAATAACTTTGTAACTATCAGAGATACGAGAAAATTTGTGCAGTTGTTTTTTGTAGGATTCTCTACAAAATCGATCTCTTGACAGTCTTTTGTATCTCCCTTAGTTTTTGAGTTATATCAATAAAAAAAAAAGAAAATCGCGAAAATTCCCATTCAAACGCGAGTTTCTGCTATCTGACTTGTGAGTCTGGCAGGGCTTTCGTGATTGTAAATAACAGCCAGACGTGTATTTTCTACGAAATTATAGTATTATTTATCATGTGACAAATTTTCAAATCCGGGAAAATAAGAGCAAAATTTTTGTAATTCTTACGATTTTCAAGATGCCGCCAGAACAATTTGCCAATTTCATAAATCAGCCAGACTTAATTTTGATTATAGTTTATGACAGTACCAAATAATGGGTTAAATTTTAAGCATGGGAAAATAAGGGCTACGTATTTCAAAAACTGGTCAAATTTTTGCTTCCGCAAATTTTCAGCCAGACTGACTTTCCTTCACTTGGGATGTGCCAGACTGTTATTTCCATTAATAAAAAAATAATTAATGTGAAATATTTATGACTGGGAAAATAAGTGGACTTGACTTTTTGGCTCATCTAGTGAACCCATCCGAAAATTTTAGCCAGACACACAAATTGTCGTTTTGTGTCACCATTTGAACAAACTTAATGACATTCACAAACTGGGAAAATAAGAAGATAAAAATCTTCACTGCCTCCCGGACTATTATCAATTTTGAAAAGTTACTGTTTACATAAAAAAAAATTAAAAATATTCTATATAGAATATTTTTAATTTTTTTTTGGAGTAAAAATTAGTAAATGTGAGATAGTAAATCTAAAATTAAAAATTTAACCTTGGCAGAAATTGTAACATCAGCAAAAAGGTATGAAACATTTCATAATTACTTTATTTATTTATTTATATTTATTTTTATCCAACACACACAGGGCCTATTTACAGAAATAAGTTTAAAACATTGTATTTATCCAAGAACTTTCTTAATCAATATCCATATTTATTTCTATGCAAAATTTACATCTTCCTTTTGATAATTATTCTATTCATCCCCCTTTTGATAATTATCCTCATTTCACGTTTACATAATGATTATTACTTATGATGGTCTTGGAAAAAATAGTTTATGCAAATTCCATTTAATAGTCCGGGACACTCTCACTTATTATGACATTTTCCTCATATCATAATTCACATACATGTCATGGATCATTAAATGGTCGTTCATAATATTGGTACTTTTGTACACCTATTTTCATGTGGAAGAAATACTATTAAAAACGCCATTTCAATCCAAATTGATACGAAACAAATGAATCCGGTATAATCCGGAATAGCATACCAAAAACTGGAACCTGTCCCAGCAAATCCAGTACAGTTGCATTCAAGCATTATATTGCTTAAAATGCCAAATCCAATTTATGCTCAAAGTTTGAGCCTCAAACGAAACACTGTAATGTACCGTCGCCGATGCAAAATATCCCCACCCTTTTTCAAGGTGTTTGGATGCACTCAGCCAGTGTTGCCAGAAGCATTTATAACATTTTACCAAAGTCAACATGAGATATGTACCAATTTGCAAAGATTAATAAATAAATATAAATACCTATAAAATATTCATATAAAACAAAAACATTCTTATAAAACGAAAACTAAACTTGGTACTCTATTGCACAAACATATGTTTGTGCAATATTGCAACATTAAAATACAGTGTAGTAATTAATCATCACTGTATTCTAATTTTCTTTTAAATAAATTAGAACTAGGCAGCCACTTGTAACAATTGTTAGGCTTTTCAATAGAGAAGTGCATTACATGTTTCCGGCAAAAGACGATGTTTTCTAAACACTACATACCAATGAACACTATATATAGATGGCACAGGAAAAAAATACAAAAAATACACAACACTGTTGCATTTACAACAGTTTAAATATGTGGGATTCAGAGAACACGCTATAAAAAATATAGACCTCTATATTTTTGACACAAATCATTAAATAGCCGAGTTTTTAAGGTATAAATTATTTTATAAAATTAACATTTTTAATTCATTAAATTATTTTTTAAAGAATATTTTACTAAATATTCTGCTGCTGGAAAATTTACCAAAACTGCCCTCGATGTACTTTTGTACCTAGAGGTTAAAAATGTATAAAAAAAGTACAAATGTACCACCTCTGGCAACACTGCACTCAGCACTCTATACCTTTAGTGTAAAAATACGGAATAAATCAGCATCATTTTAGATAGTGTAATCATCTTATTTTGGCAAACATCGACTTGTAGCTTTTTCTAAATGGTTCAGAAATATATTTCATAAATGAGGAGGTGCATTCCAAAACTCAGCTTATCCATATTAGGTGATTTTGAGAAAAATTTCAAAAACCTTACACGTGAGTAGGTACTGACTCATATTAGGCCTACAGAATACTTTAAAACAAATTAAATAAGTATAAAATTTATATACCTTGATTAAAAAGGTATAGCCTCGGGTATAGCTTCAATTTGAAATAATTTAAATTTACATAGGTATAAGCCAGTTCTGACATAATAGATAATAGAATAGATAAGGCAAGTTTTGGAACAATAGTCAATTTGTAAATGAATTTTAAATGTAATAAGGTGAGTTTTAGAATAATATGACCTTTTCAGGGTATAGGGGGCTACATGTTAAACGTACAGAACTCATTTTTATTAAAAAGTGGATAAGCCGAGCTTTGGAATGGACCTCCTCAAATGTATCAAAAGTACAATACACAATTATACAACTAAAACTCAATTTTTTCATATTCAAATTTTTTTTACTGCTAGATTCTTATTTTTATGAACATTTTGCATTTTTCTGTACTTACATGTACCCTTATTGCAAAATTATAAATAATGCTTGGTAAGAAAACAACCAATTTGTATTTCATTTACATAATATGCATATTGTAAATAAAAATAACAAGAAAGCTAGCATATTCTTAACCAAATAAAAACAAAAATCAAAATAAAGATAAATAGTATTTAAGACATACAACCTTACACCTTGAATTTTTCTCTAGAAAAACTTTTTTTCAAACATTTTCTTGACAGCTGTCAACTCTAATGTTTTACAAATTACAATGTTGCCGTTGCCTACCCTTGTCTCTGTTGCCTATTCAAGAGATTATTAATAAAATTTCAATATATTGCATGTTGTATTTAAAGCTGAAAATGTTTTATGTTGTTTTCTTTTTATTTATATTACCTAATTGTTTTCAATAAACATTGTTTTAATATACGAAAATGATTTGTTTGTTCTAAGAAAAGCTGCAGCTTCATGAATGGATAATTTTCCATTGATGTTTTCGCAGAGTTGCGAGATCCACATTTTTGTTATCGATTTTTTAGTTGTTTCACAAGGTAAATCTATAATTCTTTTTTTTAATAATAATTTGTGGTTTTATTAATTGTTATTGTTGATATAGTTTAATAGGGTTTAGAAATTGAGTTAACTAGGGAATTTTCAAAATCGATTAAAAGGTGATGTGGCAACGATGTGCTTGTCCCAGGCACAACTTGTCAAAAGTGACATTTAAAACAACAATATTGCAACTTTAAGAAAAAAATAATCAATTGTGGGGAATAGGGGGGTTGTTACAAACAATTTGTTCATATTTTAGATAATCGTTAATGTATTATACTTAAATTCAACATGTCGTGCAATCACTGTAGTACAAAATTCAATTTTTTCCACAAAGAGGTAAGTTCAGTGTTAAAATTCGATGTTTATTAAGTATTATTTTCGTGTGATTATTTTTTTAGATGGGATGTTCTCATTGTGGACTATCTTTTTGTAATAAATGTTTAAAGCAAAAATGTAAAATACCTTCTAAAGGCAATGGAGAATACAATGTATGTCGAATATGTTTTAATAAACTTACCACGGGTAATTCAGCCAACCAATCAACCTCACAGCCTCCTCCAGACACCTTTTTAAAGTAAGTTCTTTTTTTGTATTACAGGTGGTCCATATAATTGGCACCCTACCTTTTATTACTAAAGTGCATTATGAAACAGCTTACAATTTGGCACAAATATAAAGTTTTTCATGTAGTGAGTAATACCAAGTATATACTTTATATAAAAAAAGTTTAATTTATATATTTAAAAGTATTAAGAATTAGGGTTGCCCTGTTTTTCAGCCTATAGCAATATAAGAACTTTTAATTACCAAAATAAATATGGGGTAAACAAAATATATTTTCTCATTTGCTTTGCAAAACAAAAAGTTTAAAAGCTGTTTCATTAAAACAATAAATAAAACAGTTTTTTTCAAAACAATGCTGTTTCACTTTAAAAATCTAAAACCTGTATTTTTATACTGGTAACCATGGTTGCAAGAAGTGGTAGGTGGCAACCCTAATCAAAAACCTGTTTATTTTATTTACTATAACAAAGTGAATATGCTTAGGTACCTATATAATAATATAATATATATAATTTAAAGTTGTTATGTTTAACAAACTGTCTTAAAAGATATGGCAAATGCATAGAAATAATACTAATAGGTACTAATATTATTATTTCTATAGGCAAATGTGACTTACTTTGTATAAATGTATAGAAGCTGGTAATTTGGAACCTGTGCAATATATGAACCCGGGCCCCACATTAAACAGGCCTTTTTTTAAAGAATAAGCAGTGACATCTTTATTTTCACTGAACATTGTTCAGCAGTTTTAAAAGTGTTTTATTTACAGTTTTTTAGGCGGTACATAAACAATTACTTTTTTTGAAATGTAGATATATCTATAGATGTTCCATGTTCCACAAGAAGAGTAAATGTCTATTTAATGCACAAACATCTACACAATAAAAAAAGTGGTAATTTTTTTATTTTGATAATTTTATCTCTTCTTGTCTGGCTATATGGATTGTCTATTTTTATACATTAAAAAAATTAAATAATTATGATATCTTTATACAGTAAAATAAATAAAGGTTTTTGCTTGATTTCAAACCCCAAGAAAATGCGACACATAATTTTTAATGTGCAGTTTTGATTACTTAATCTGAAAATTTTGAAATGAATATTTTTTGGTCAGTTTACGTTCATTTGTTATTTCTCAAAATTAATCGTTTCTCTGGACATGTTCAATGCTTTTATTTTTTAATTTATCGCCAAAAATACATTTTTCATCGCCTTATTATGCATTTTTTATTATTTTTCATAAGAGGCGAATACTCGAGAGATTTCTACCTACCGTGTTGAAAAGAAAATTCAAATAAAAAAAACTGACCAAAAATTAAAGTCTTGTTTAACTTAAAGCTGTTTCATTTTGCAGTTTAGAAATAAAAGGTTTGGCCTATATTTAACACCATGTAGTTCTTTTTGCCTCAATTTTTAGCTTCTTTGCCAAATTTACCTATTAATGAAGAAATTTACCAGAATTTCCTTATTTTCCCATCCACTCCAAAACTCCTATACCATGTGTAATGTCTTATTTATTAAGGTAACAAAAGTGGTATATTAAGCAAAATCTTTAAACTTAATATTTTTTTGAAGATTTTTACGCTAATTTTTAAATAATATAATAGAAACTGCCTTGTTGCAGTGCTGTTATGTTTGACTGTTTTCAATAAACTTAATCTTCAAAAATATATAGGGTCTTCAGCAAAAACTATAAAATTATCATGTTTTATAATTTATAGAAGACTTGAAAATCTGGAAAATCCTAGCGCGCCCCCTATAACAATCTACAAGCAAAACCATGATCAAAGGGGACAAAATTTACGAGCAGGGTTGTCACAAGTAGATCAGAAACTTGTTGAAAGACTAGAAAAGTTAAAGGAAGATAAAGGTCCACCTCCACCCTCAGAAATAGAGATCAGAAAGCGTCTTGCCAACCTAAGGGGAGAAAATGATTACGTTGAAGGGCCCAGCAGACAAGTAAGTAGGGAATTGGCACTATATAAAATTGTTGATATATTTATTATGCTGTAACATTTTGGATCAATATTATATAAACTTTAACTCTATTGAATATTTTAAAGTTATGCTTTTTCCTGGCTTGTTCTTGCACAGTAAAAACCCATTTTCTGGACTTCTAAATAAAATATACTTTTTCAGCCATTGTTCACTAATGACACAAGGTCAGAGCAGCAAAGGGTTGACAGTTTGTTGGATCAGTTTGTAAACGAAAGAGAAATTGAGTTGGCTTACAATCCTCAGGAAGAAATTGAAGCCAGGTTGGCCACCTTAAGAGAAAAAGGAGTGAGACCAAATGAGGGGCCCTACATAGCAAATCTGCATGATTCAGGCAGCAGTGAGGAGGAACTCGATAAGATTACAAAAAAAGTAAGCAAAACTTTAGATACTTTCTCAGATAATAAAGAAGAAATTTTGGAATACTTAAAAATACTTAAAAATAAATAAAACCCCATCACAAATCTTTAAAATAATGAAAATTTACTTGTTTAATTATTTAAGCAATTGCCATTATTTTCCAAAAGTTTTAAGGTAGCATATTAAAATTGTGCATTGTTTTTTTGATTTTATAGATAATGGACGAGGTCGCGTTGGAACAACGATGCTCCCTACCGACCGAAAACAAAACGAAACCGCAACCGATACGATCGAAGGCGGCGTCGAACTCCTCGACAGAAGACGACGAATCAGGAGGCCGTTCAGCGTCGGCGGAGTTGCCGTGGTGCGTGCTGTGCAACAACGATGCCAGATATCGCTGCTACGACTGCAGTGGCGACCTCTACTGCAATGAGTGCCACAAGGAGGTGCACAAAAATTGGGGGGATTCGGATCACAAAGTTGTGCCATACAAAAACAAGTAATTAAATCGAATGTAACCTTTAAATCACAACCACATGATTGTTTCACACATTAATCTACGTTTTAGACGCTTATTTACTAACTAATTTATTGTAAAATACAGAAAATAAATAATTTATAGTTATTATTAGAATATATGAGTGTTATTTTTAATTACCCTTTCAATTTTTTTTATTGAGGTATTTTTACAAGCTTTTGATTAACTTGCTTCGTTTATATTTGTCTGTCAGCTGGGTTTAAAATTTGGAATCCATTTTTCAAGCATTAAGCTAAAATTGTGTACCTACATACTTTTGGTGCTGGTAAAAATAAAATTTAAATTGTACCTATAAAAATTAAAATTAAGTTGTCAACCTAAAAATTTGGACTGTACACGTGACAAAAATATAAAAGAAACCATATACCTACAGTAATTACTGTTACACTTACTAAAAAAGTGTAGTAAAATGAATAATATTTAATATTGATTTTAACAATATTAATATATTAGGTATACATTTCCACGAAACTTACAAATCCTTAAAAAATACATTATTTCAAGAAATCATTTATTAAATTAGTAGTATTAAAAATATGAATTTCCTTAAGGAAATTCAAATTTGGAAGTAATTTGTTTATTACCTTAATAAAATTTTAATCTTTCTGGTTTTAAAATAAAACATCAATTGTACAGAATATACAACAACTTCCAGTGAATATAAAAAACCTATCCCAGACTTTGTTTAAAACCAGTTAAAAAGCCAAAGGGAGACACTATTTAATTTATCTAGCAAATGCTAGTTAAATAAATAAATATGTATTTAGGTATATTGATATTATGTTATATAGGTATCATTACAGTCATATGTAGGATATATTTATTTTTCAATAAAAAAAATGTTGTATTCATTTAGGTAATTGCTTTAATTTTCCACTAGTTTATGACTTATGTCATACACAGATTATTAATAATTAAGTCATAGGTAAGAAGATTAAATAATCTTCTTAGTCATAGGTATCAACAGGGTAAAAGTTAAAATCTTTTTATTTTGACGCTAGAAAATTGACGTCAAGCGTCAAAAAGAAAATTTCATGATGAAATATACAGCACCTTAATACCTAGTACTACAAAAAAATTAAAATTAATTTATTTTTTTGGTTCTTCTTAACTTCATACACCACTTATTTACTTTTTATTTCAATAAAACCTGGTTTTCATTTTTACGTTTATTTTATTAAAAAATATATTTTTTATCCATAATTTGTAAATTTTATAATTTAAGTAAAAAAGTAATAATGTACTCTTATAATTTATTTATTTATCGTTTAAAGTAACAATTACATATAAAATTTACAAAATAACAACAAATGTATTACAAAAGTATGAATGTTAACATTATAATTATTTAAGCAATGTCACAAAAAAAATTTAGGTTAAGACATGCAACCTACTTTTTTGGAATTGTCACTAAAATAGGTTAAGTCACTTTGACATTTGACAATACACTGACAATATACAATGACATGCATTATATAAAATACTGTTAATTTATTTAAAACTTTAATAATTAATCTCTATCCAAACTTAATAGGTACCCCTTGGTTGCTAAAACCCCTCTACATTTAATATGGGCTAAAAATCTTGTAGCCCATTGTAGAACCAAAGGTTTTCCAAATATGTTCTGTATCAACCCCACAGGAAGAATATCACTAGGGTCACTGTGAGTAAGCAACTTTACCTCATTTTCCTTACAAAATGCCTGTAAAGTGGGCGGGACAACACAACAAGTAGCCAGATTTATTTGTATAATGCTTGGTTTAACTGTAGCCCACTCATAGATGGTCCTAAATGTTGTCTCTTCAACATCAGCTAAACCAATTTGTTTAATTTTCTCACTCTTGATGTAGTTTTCAAGGATGGACCAAATACTTTTGATTAAGTCAAGGTTATCTTTAACTTTAAAAGCTACAATGACATCATCGACACATCCTACATTAAGGGTTATAAATGCTTTTTCTATGGCCTGTATGACAAGTTGTTGGTTGTTGTTTGTGACAAATATTTTAAGGCCGATTTTTAGCTCTGAGGAATCGTGTTCTGCCATTTTGATGAGTAAATCGTCATTTGGGCGTGTAATAACCAACAAATGATCAGGTTGTGGTTTTAGAGGCGAACCATTTTGGAATTCCTTTATAGTTATATTAATTGCTTCAATTAACTCTTCTGTCGGGTTTTGTCCAGGTTTTTTCGTTATATCGTTCAAAGACAACATGTTGCCAGTTGATATTATCACTTTTTCAAGATCTTCCAAATTGCTTCCAGCCATGGCGAATCTTTGAGTTGTTGTAGTTGTAATTGTTCTATGTTTTTGATATTCAAAATACTAATGACACACAACTATAATTGAGTTTATTTTTCATAGATAATATATGCTGTTTATAATTAATAAGCACTTTTTTATTTGTTTAATAACTGACGTGCGCATTAGAGCTGTGTAATTCTCGAACTTTGTTCGCGAAATCTATGTTTTTTATGTTTACAATGCTAATGACATCAAAGATAACAAAGCCTGAATGACACCCAACCTATCCCTTGTCTATAAATGATACGACAAATTGATTTAATCTATCGAGTATATAATTAAACAGCACTTTTTTATGTAGCCTTGTAGAGGTTATTACACAGAGGATTGGGTTATTAACAGTGTTGCCATCATAGAAATAATAGTATTACAGAACATTAAAAGCGCTGTAGTCAAAAGTGGCAACAAGCATAGGTTGATTTTTAAATCCAGTGGGCTTGGAAAACCGAGGTGCTTGTAAGCAATTAGTGGAATTAACCACGTGATTTTCTTTGTTGTGATTGGTCATAGACAAGGGATTGGTTGGGTGGGCGGGGGGTTAGTTAGATAGGCAACTTAGTATTAAAGTTTTGTTCCCTGACTACTGCGCCATCTGGCGGGTGTAGTCAAAAATATATATTAAAATTATTGTTTAAATTTTTTTACTGGATGGTACTGATCCTTTTTTTTACCTCCACTAGATAAATAATTCTAATATTTTTCTAGGAAAGTTCAAAGAGGAATAATAAAACATAATAAAACTATATTTTTGTAATTATTTTATTTGTCAAAAATATATAAAATAATATATAAATATATAAAGGCAAAAATTCAAAACACAACTTAAAATTATATCTACATCATATGAACTTATCTAACTATTTCATTCCTATTCCTATAATATTATTGTATAAGGTAAAATAAATTTATAAATAAAAGAACAATAAAAATTGTATTACTTGGTGCTTAGAGAATCAACATATTTTTTGTTATTCGGGCAAAAAGCGGGACATACCTTCATAGATGACCATATGGTGGGAGATAGTGTAAAATATTTTACACTATCTCCCCTGCTTTTGCACTTTTGTACACAACAAGAATAAACCATAATAATGAATACACAATACAAACTTAAAAGGTTATAAAATTTAATACTTCACAAATTTAAGTTATTCTTTTAAGTCGAATTATTATGACAACAGTTACTGTCATTATGACAACGGTAGTCTCGGTGACAAAAACAATTTTGGCGACATTAGCGCCTCTGGCAAGCGTAGTCAAAACTTCTCAGCGGACAAGTTTTTGTACAGTAAAGATGCACAACCATGTGATTGGTTGTTTATCGCGTCTGCAGCGCGAAATTTAAATTTTTTTAATATATATATATATGAAAATATAACCGAAAATTGTCGAAATTTTATATTTGTTTGGGTTTTAAAGAACAATATACGTAATATTGTTCATTAAAAATAAAAAAAATTATAAAATTTCGACAATTTTCGGTTATATTTCCATTGATAAAGTGGAAAAACACATTTTTTTCATTTTAAATATATTTGATAGAATATAAACTTATATTTTTAAACTAAAGTTAAATTTCCAAATATTATTTTAAGAGAAATTTAATGTTATCAAATATTTTGACATTTCAGTACAAATTTTTAATATAATTTTTTTATCTGGACTTTTTTGTTAGGTTGGTGGCTTATGCAGGTTTGACTTAAAAAACTTCTGCTAAATAATTTAATTAAATACTTTGACACTGTCAAATTGACAATAATATTTATTATTGGTAATTTACTTCTCAATTATAAATAAAAAGATAATTATGCCAAAAATAATAGCAACGAATTGCAATGTAAAAGCCCTTTTGAGGGCAAAACTTCATTTTAATGAAATTATGCCAAATACCACAATGGAAGAAAAAGTACCGAATTTGGTTTTATAAATATTCCACATTATTTTCATATTCACCATTGGACAACATTTACGTTCACAAACAATTTTAATTTCTTTTATATAAATTCTTTTCAAAGCGAAGATTATCAGCCTTCTCTTCTGGGTCGTAAAGCAACCTATATTTAACTACTTTTTTATATGATTTTACTCATCCAAGCACCACCAAAGCCAAATTAATTGCATTTTTAACTACGAATTTCGACAACTCAACTTGACAACTGCACAATGTAACCTGCAATAATTTATACATAACCACAATTAGATTTATAACTAGCTTAGTTTGTTTTAATCAATGCGACCAGTTTTGGTTCTTTATAATAATTATTTACCAACCAAAACCCTAAATTTGCAACGTTGCCGCAGTCCACATAAAAAAATGAACTTTACATATTTTGCGAAGTATAATTGGACGCCTTTCTGCAGAAAGGAACCAACCCACAAAACCAAAAAAATCGAGATATTTAGCCTATGAACTAATTAAGTATGTATAATTTATCTGCAAAATAGGTCATAGCCAAAATGCAAGTGTAGTGAAATCTATTAATCATTGAACCATGGTTGCAACCAACATTCAATAATAGTGTGGATTACTAATCCAGAATTAGAATCTGTAGAATATCTGCAAGTGGGTTGGATCTTTTTTGTAAAAAAGCAGGCTGGTAGACCCACCACCAAAGTCTTTAAAGATTTCCTGCTTCTGCAAAATATAAAGTCTTGATGCATTTTTTTGGTAGTTTACAAGATGAGGTGGGGTTGGAAGATGATGTGGACGAATTTTAAATAGAATCAAAATTAATTCATATTACCATTATAATAGTAATATCAGTTGTATTTTGTTTGGAAATAAATAATTGTTGCTTTTCTTTAAATACATACATACATCAGATAGTAGTTTTCATAAATTGCAGAAAGGAACCAACCAACAAAAGCCCATTTTTTTCGTCACCCTTACACATAACATCACAAAATCCACCTGATGAAATTATTAAATTATATCCCTTAAACCTCCGTCCAAAATCGGCATAAAATTACCCAGCAAGCACAAACATCCTCAGGACGTCCTTGGACCAGCCTAAATGTCCCAGAATGGGATGATCCTATAAGGACTTCCTGAGGACGTCCATAGGTTGACCTTATCGGACATTAGATCTTTTGAAGGTCCCATTTTGGGATATCCTAGGAACGTCATTTAAGGATGTCGTTAGGACCTAATAATATCCTAATTAAAGCCTAAAATGGGCTGATCATAGGACTAATCCCAGAGACATCCTCAGAATGTCCCGTTAGGTTTTGGTAAACATTTGGTATGCACATTTTTCTATAAGAATATTTTATCCATTTTATTAATAATACCTACATTTTTTTACATCAATATAATTATAATATTATATTATATAGATTTTTTTAAGTTTATACACTATATTTTTTCTACGACAATCACAAAAATTAAATAACTTTCAACAATTATATATAAATAATTATTTATAAAATCTGACATCGATCAGTCTATTCTAACCTCACTTTTTAGACCCTTTATTTTGATGGTCATTGTTTCGCAGTTGACAACTGCAATTAACTTCAACCCATGACTAAAAAGTCCGAATGCCATTGCTGCCAACTTCAGCCCGTGACTAAAACGACATAAAGCCACAACTTGTCAATGTGTATTTAAAATATCATTGAAACATGTACGATAATCGGCGTTTTAAAGGCGGGAGTTTAAAAACAATATTATATTTTGTGTATTTGTTATATGACCACAAAATATATTTAGTATACAACTGGATAGCAGCCAACTTAATACGCATGCGCAGAAATGACTGCTGGTAATTAATAATTGTTCAAACACCTTGTTTGTACTGATACATTTAGAGTTTTATAAATAATAAATAAGGTAGTAAGCGTCAGTTAACCTTAAAAATGTAATTACAAACGCTATCTATAACTTATTTAATAGTTTGTGTTACCGATTGTTTTAAATTTGCCGCCATACGTTATGGTGGTAACTATTGTCTATGGTGGTATCCAAATTGTCTTTGGTGGTATCACTGGATGGAGAGAAAGCTAAGATGTCGTATAGCCATCTTATGTTCTGTGATAGCCATGATACAAAGTATCATGTCGTATAGCGTCCTTTAGTTCATAGATAATAAATAATATAGATACGCCACTGTCACATATTTGACGCTCCTTGTTACGCACACTAGGTCCGCTATGTCGCTAGTTGTACCCGCCTGACATTTATAGGTTTTAGGTTATGGTTTTAATTTAGGTTATCCTGTCAAATTTTGACAGTCAAAATAGTAGAAAATAAAATTACTGAGAGTTTATTTAAATTGTTTATTTGGAAAGCAAAAATAAATGTATTACATTTTAAAATAATCAAGGTATTTACTAAACTAACTAATTAACAATATAATGTACATGTATTCTAGTGAATTTTAGCTTATTAAAGAATTTGTTGTCAAGAACAAAAATCAGTATAAGGTATTACGTAAATATTTCCCAATGCTTGTCCTAATTGTGTATATATTGAATAGGTACTTAGGTTAGATTAAAGAATCAAGAATATTTATATTTCATAAATTTTAGCTATTCGAAGAGGTTTTTGTTGTCCAGAAACCAAATCTGCACAGCAATAGTAACCTATATTTAAATATACAAATTACAAAATAAAATAATATTGTATACATTGTATTTATAAATAAGACAAAGATATTTGTTCGTAATTACCTTTAAAGGTCTAAAGTAAAAGTGATAAATACCTTATCGAAGGAGGGTTTGGATATAAAAATAAAAGACACTTCTTTGATAAGTTAATCACTGTTATTTTACCTATATTTAGTTTTGTGACATTCATTTGGAATTTTGACAACAATATAATAAATTAAAAATCACCTGAAGACAGTGCACAAACAAATTTTGGTAGTAGAGGAAAAGTAAATACAGTAAATAATAGCAATCATTAGTTTGCATACAAGCAGAAAACAATAAAAAAATTGTCCTTTACTACTTAAATTGGATAACATCAAATATTATACAGCATTTCAGCGTTGTAGAGAACAGTATGTAAATCGTTAACGAATGTGCAGTTTTTTTGGGATGAATAAACGCTTTTTATTTATATTTATTCTTACTAATAAAAACAAGATTGTATTGCACAAATTTATACTTGGCAAATTATTCATATTAAATTTATATTAATATAATTACAACTTAAAAAAAGTAACAAAGAACATTTCTAAAATTTAAGGCCCCATGCAAATAATGGTTTATAATGTGGACACATTTGTGTATTTATTATTTTTTAAAAATTTAAACTTCATAGCTACAATTATTATTATAACCATACAAAGGAGGTTGACACATGATTGTTCTAAAAGCGTTGAGTGAAAAGTCACTCTCAATTAAAATGGCGTT